CTATTTCTTGGAAGAGTGTTAGATATATGTATTACACTGTTCCCAATGCATTTAGAAGGAGGAGGTGGATGAATTTGTGAAATATTTTTCCTGACCCACCTGTAATGTCCTCACTCCTCAGCTGAACAAAGAGCTGTGGTTTTGGAAAAACCACACCAATTTACATTTCTTTGTTCTGATAAGCAGAAATTTCTTTTTCTGATCTGAACATTATCTCCGTTTTTGGAGCAAGAGGAAGAGCCCAGGACTCTGGTGAGTGGTGTGAAAATAGCAAAAAAACCAAATGGGTAGGAATGTATCAAAAGTGTGAACACAGGTGGGATCTCAGGGCAGAGAGGAAGCCACAACATTAATAGTGTTTGGGAAACGCTTCTCATGGTGGAGCGTTCTTTGGGAAAACCAAAGTTTCTTTATTAAACTCTCAGAGGAGACTTTTCTTCTACTCGAGTTATCACTCTATCCTTCCACATGTAAAATGTATTCTTTCACCCTCCAGTGTTGCTGCAGCTCCTATAGAGACAAAGGCAAGGTCTTTATCAAGATCCACAGCACTCATCATCTGGCTGCTGTGAACTGGTTGTTGCTTGACTTTGAGGAGCATGAGGCGGGCTGTGTTATTGGCTTGTCTAGCCCCCTCTTCTCTCCTTATGGACTTGATTCTATTGGATGCTCAGTTTTTAGTCCATATAGATCAAAGCTGATGCCTCTAGTGTCTAACCCCTGACCCTGTCCTGGTTTCTTGTCTGTTGTATTTGGAAGATATAATCAGAAGATGGAAAATACCGGCTGCTATTTAATTTTTATTAATTAAAAATTTTTTTAAAATTATTTTAATTATTTAATTTTTTTTCTTTTTGGCTGCGTGTTGGGTCTTTGTCGCTGTGCGTGGGCTTTCTCTAGTTGTGGCAAGCGGGGGCTACTCTGTTGTGGTGCGTGGGCTTCTCACTGCGGTGGCTTCTCTTGTTATGGAGCACGGGCTCTAGGTGCATGGGCTTCAGTAGCTGTGGCACGTGGGCTCAGTAGTTGTGGCGCATGGGCTTAGTTGCTCCGTGGCATGTGGGATCTTCCTGGCCCAGGGCTTGAACACGTGTCCCCTGCATTGGCAGGCGGATTCTTAACCACTGTGCCACCAGGGAAGTCCCTGCTATTTGATTTTATCTGGCACCTCAGAACGTGTATGGAGCTGTCTCAGTCCCTGTCTTCCTGTTTAGATCTGTCAGCCATTTCTTCTGTTCTGCTTTTGCCACACATTTCAGGGGTGTGTGGAATAGCCATGTGCATTTGATCTTCTGTGATTGTTACTTAGGAAAACTGTAAGGACAGTGGACAGAGAGATCCTCTTTTTGATCCTAAATCCAGCAAGGGGAACATACATGAATCTTTCAGGCTCTTAGCTTGGCATCCCTGGGTCGAGCAAATGGTCCCATCTCAAGATCTTATAATATCCAACTCCCATATCTGTCTTTTTCTGCTCCTGTACTGCTCTATCAAGTCTGGGAATGTAGACTCTTCCTGACTTTACTTTCTCCTTAGTTTGTGTAAGTTTTCCTCTTAAACTTGATTTTGAAGTATGTAGTCCTAGAGTCTGAAATTGTATCCAGTTTCTTTGCTGTGGTAATCCACCTATGTTTAATGGGCAGCTTCTAGTGGACTCTCTGTAGAGTGGGTTTACTGGGTAACAGAAAATTTTTGAAGGAGAATACTTTCCCTCATATGCTGTAATATTTTCCCGTTACATACAAAACCACCGCTTGAAGCTACTTAGTAGAGTGGCCTTAGTAGAGATACAAGACAGCAAGTGTCTGAAGACCTTGACCTATAAGTCTTTCCAGTTTCTTTTTCTGGCTTTGACCAATGTCACAAAAGGCTGTGTGAAGGGCACTGTGACAATGTTGTTCACATGTACTAATGTCCATCCCCTTTGAGCCTCAGTAAGTGGTGTAGCGGTTTCTCCGAACAACAGTATTGTCCAAGTTCACATACTCATATTTGTGAGGCTGTTGACTAAACTGTTGTCTGTGCCATGCCACATGTTCCATCACCTGTGTGCCATTGTTCTTTCTGCCTTCACACATAATTTTGAAGCAACTTAATGAGAGACCTTATGAAGTAGAGTGATACCTTCAGTGATAAACCATCATTTGTTTTGTTCAAGGCACTGCAACTTTCATTTTGTATGCATTATAAATGACTGTCTTTTATTTTTATCATTAGGTTTTTGTTTTTTGTTTCTCTTCATTTTTGTTTTTTATTTGCAATATGTGGGATGGTTGGTTTAGAAAGCCCCCCACCCCATGGTGGAATAGGTGATCAGTTCCTTTCAGAGTTCTTTATGTAGTCTTTTTTTTTTTAAATTCATTTATTTTTGGCTGCGTTGGGTCTTTGTTGCTGTGCACGGGCTTTTTCTAGTTGTGGTGAGAGGGGGCTACTCTTCATTGCGGTGCGCAGGCTTCTCATTGCAGTGGCTTCTCTTGTTGCAGAGCACGGGCTCTAGGCATGCGGGCTTCAGTAGTTGTGGTGCATGGGCTTAGTTGCTCCGCAGTATGTGGGATCTTAGTTCCCGGACCAGGGCTCGAACTGGTGTCCCCTACATTGGCAGGTGGATTCTTAACCACTGTGCCACAAGCGAAGTCCCAAAATCACTTATCAAAGAAAAATATATTATTTTTGGTTGAGAACAAATTCTAACTGGAGAATATAGGGTGTCAGTTGTCAAGTCGGAAGTAGCACAAATCTTATTTTCTCTGCAACATACTTTGGCTCTGAATGTCACTACATCACTGGAAAATGGCAGGATAGCTTCCAGGCATTTGGCAATGGAGACTCTCTCCTTGTCACAAACTATAGTTGGAATTTTGGGGTCTTTCTTTTTTAAAAAAAAAAACAACAAAATTATTTATTAAATAAATATTCTTGATGTTAAGCTATTATTGAATATATGATTTACAAATATTTTGTATTCTACCATACATTTTTTTTTTCACTCTGCTGAGTATGGTTTAGTGCACAATAGTTAATAGTTATGATGTAGTCCAATTTATCTGTTTTTAGTTTGTTGGCGTGAGCTTTTGCTGTTACATCTGATAAATCATTGGTGAATCCAATGTTAAGAATCTTCTTTTGTAAATTTGCTTATAGGAGTTTTATTCACTAGGGACTTAGGTTTAGATCTTTGAAGCATTTTGAGTTAATACAATAATGGTCCAACTAAATTCTTCTGCATGTGGATATCCAGTTTTCTCAACACCTTTTGTTCCATAGACTGCCCTTCCCCCATTATGTGGTCTTGACAACCTTGTGGAACATCATTTGACCTTATACACGAAAGTATTTTTCTCAATCTCTCGTGTTCCACAGGTCTCTCTGTCTTTATGCCAGTACCATACTGCTTTGATTAGTGTAGCTTTGGAAAAATTTTGAAATAAAGAAATGTGAATTGTCTGACTTTGTTTTCAAGCTTCTTTTTGCTATTCATTGTGTCCTGAAATTCCACAGGAATTGTAGGATTGATTCATCTGTTTCTTCAGCAAAGCGGTATTGGGATTTGGGATTACACTAGGGATTATTTTGAATATCCTGATAACTTTGGCTAGTATTGACATCTTGACAGTATCAACTTCAAATCCGTGAACTTGGGGTATCTTTGCATTTATTTGTGTCTTCTCTAATATGTTTCAGAAGACTTTATTTTGCAGTAGTTACAAATCCTTCCCTTCTTGTATAATGTTATGTTTAAGTATTCTTCTTTTTTGATTCTATTGTAAATTGAATTGCTTTGATTGTTTTTTTTTTTTTTTTTTTTTCTTTTATTTTTTATTTTTTAGATACCTAGTTGGTTTTTGCATGTTGATGTTGTATCTAGTAGTTTTTTTTGAAGTCTTTCATTATTTCTATAAGTTTTTTTTTACTTATTGTTGCAGAATGCCTGTTATGGGTATGTCATTTTGTAGAAGATATTTAGAAAAATGTTTTGTTTTCATAAAAACTGTCCTGTTGAATTCTTTTCCTCTATGGTGTATATGTTTTATAATTCTAAACAGCGACATATTATTAGATAAGCTTGTTTTGGATTTTTTAGCGTTACAGTATATTGTGTGTTCATTAACATTTATTTATGTACACCAGGTATGCAGAATATATCTGTAGTATAATGTATTTTTCTCAGAGACAGCAGTATGTTTACTGTTAATTGGTACATGCTTTGGAGTCATGGTGGAAAAATTCCGTTCTTTTGAGAGCTGACGTCCGTTTTTCCTGTATGAGTGTTTTTGTCATAGCGGGTTTGCAAGTCGTCTCCTCTAAAATCAATTTGAATTATATTTTATAACTCCTTTTTTAGTAAACAATTCTATTGCTTTAGTGTTTCTAATAATTTTAAGATCATAGTTGGGCAATTTCAAAATTTTAAAAAAATTTAAAAAAATTTAAAAAAATACATAGTTGGGAAGTTTTACAACTGTGTTTGGTATAAGTATTACCTTTGGTGTAATATCATATATTCAACACGAAACAGTTAATTTTGAATTTATCCCTATGGCTCTTTATGTCTTGTAGATATCTGTCCAATACATGTGGTCAAGCAATTACAACCCAAAGGGAACAGTGATCCAGGAGAAGTATTTCAAAGAGTGATCTTGGGAAGATCTAAAAGTCGTGAAATCAAACATTTTTACCTCACGGAAATCCAGAAAAATATGTATGACTTTGAGTGTCATTGGAGAGATGATGAAAGAAATTACAAAGGAATACCTATAACCCATAATGGAAATCTCACTGATAGAAGAGATACACATGGTAGAAGGGATGCAGGAATCAAGCCCATTGGAAATAGGCTTGGATTAAACTTTCAGGGTAAACTGCAGGTATTTCAAACTGACAGGTTAATTTCTGAATGTAATGAAGTTGAGCGATCCATCAACAATAGTTTCCCATTTTCACCACTTGAAAGAATTCCTCCTCGTGTCCAAACTAACGTTTCTAATGTATATGGGAATGACGTTATGCATCCTTTAGTACTGACACAAGATCAGAAAACACACAGGGAAAGAGATTTTAAATGTACTGAGTGTGGGAAAACCTTTAGTCATGGCTCAATTGTCAGGAATAATCAGATAATCTATTCAGAAGAGATATTACATAAATGTGATGTATGTGTCAAGGGCTTTAGTACAAAGTCACACCTTGCAATTCATGAGAGCATTCATACGGGAAAGAAACCTTACAAGTGTAGTGAGTGCGGCAAGGTATTCAGTCAAAAAACAGCCCTTGCAAATCATCAGAGAATTCATACTGGGGAGAAACCTTTCAAATGTAACGAGTGTGACAAAACCTTTAATCGCTACTCAAACCTCAGTAGACATAAGATAATTCATACAGGAAAGAAATTATATAAATGTGAAGTATGTGGCAGGGTCTTTAGTCGAAAATCAAACCTTGCAGATCATCGGAGAGTTCATACTGGAGAGAAACCTTATAAATGTAATGAGTGTGGCAAGCTGTTTAGTTACAGTTCACACCTTTCAACTCATCAGAGAATTCATACCGGAGAGAAACCTTACAAATGTAATGAGTGCAGCAAGGTCTTTAGTGAAAAGGCAACTCTTGCAAAACATCAGAGGGTTCATACTGGAGAGAAACCTTACACATGTAATGAGTGTAGAAAGGCCTTTAGTCAAAAAGCACATCTTCAACTTCATTGGAGAGTTCATACCGGAGAGAAGCCTTTCAGATGTGATGAGTGTGGCAAGGTCTTCAGTCGAAATTCACACCTTACAAGTCATCAGAGAGTACATATGGTAGAGAGACCTTTCAAATGTTTTGAGTGTGGAAGAGCGTTCACTGAGGTCTCAACCCTCACTAAACATCAGAAAATCCATACCTGAGAGAAATTGTGTAAGTGTATTATATGTGGGAAGGTCTTTAAATCTCAAAGTAGAAAAGAAACTATACAAATATCATGAGTGTGGCAAAGCTTTTATGTGTGTAAGCCTCACTTATGATCAGATAATTCATACTGGAGTGTTACATTACAAATGCAATGAGTGTCTCAAAGTGTTTAGTCAAAGTGCTTACCTTATGATCCATGACAGAATTCATATTGGGAGGAACTGTGAGAAATGCAGTGAGTGTGGTAAGTTCTTAAGTGTGCTTTCAGGCCTAACTTGCCATCAGCTGATGTATACAGGTGAGAGCCCTTAAAAATATAATGAATCTTCACATCTTAGGCTTCCTGAGAATATTCATACTGAATAGAGCCCAGATACATGTATTTAATGTGGTCAGGCCCTTGATAATGCATTCTGGAAAGAATCCTCACCAGTGCCATGAATGTGAGAAATCTGTTCTCATGGCTCACATCCCACCAATAATCAGGTAGTCTGCACTGGACAGCATGTTACAAATGTACTGAATTTTGCAAAGCTTTTAGGTTGTGCCTTAAACTCAGGGGTCATCAAATACTTCATTCTTTAAAATGCAATGAATATGTCAAAATTTAATATATTGCTTACTCGTACTTAAATACCAGAATATTTATCGTGGAGAGAAACCGCACAAATGTAATGTGTGTGGCAAGGCTTTTACCCAAACATCACAGTATGTTTTGCCCAGCATACTGGAGCGATAACTCCCAAATGCAATGAGCGTGGCAAAACCTTTACGTTGAGTTCACGTATTAGGGAGCAGCAGAGAGTCCATGTTGAAGAGAAGCCATGGAAATGTGAATCGAGGCTTTATCCAGGCCTCCCCATGCACTGGACTTTAGAATACACATCTTTAAGAGAAACCACACAAAGCAATATGCGTGCTAAGGCTTGTAACTGAAGAACAAAACTGTGGAACACAGGATTTATGTTGGAGAACAAGATTTCAGATGTTATGAATGTTGTAAATATGGATACATCCAGTAGGTTTGGTGTCATGAGAGAATTCATACAGGTTATAAAGTGTATACGTGGAAACTCTTCATGAATCAGTGCATTCTCAGCGTTTAACAAAAAAACTCATGTTTGGGGGAATTCTTATAAATGTAATGAATTTGTTGAGCTTTCTCAGCACTCTTTTCAACAGACCACACATCAGAGAATGCATACTCGGAATAAACAAGTCTTTAGTTCTCTGAGGTTAACCTGAGATATTATATACTGCAGAATCATTTCAAGTCACAATGTGTTAAAATATGGTGTGTGGGCTTCCCTGGTGGTGCAGTGGTTGAGAGTCCGCCTGCCGATGCAGGGGACACAGGTTCGTGCCCCGGTCCGGGAAGATCCCACATGCCGCGGAGCGGCTGGGCCCGTGAGCCATGGCCGCTGAGCCTGCGCGTCCGGAGCCTGTGCTCCGCAACGGAAGAGGCCACAACGGTGAGAGGCCCGCGTACAGCAAAAAAAAAAAAAAAAAAAAAAAAAGAAATCAAGGCCCAGTTATATAAGTTTTGTAAGACAGAGAGTGGTACAACACATGACATATTATTGACAGTTTACATAATCCAGATCTAAGCATCATTGCAGTGGGTCATGTGACCCTTACAAGATCAAGAAGGAATGCTATCTTTTAAGGAGTTTTCCTGTTGATGCTAGGAGAATGTTGCTCTTTATGGTTGAGTATGTATTCTGCTGATGGGGGAGGTTTGCTTTGATGCATAATGCAAATACACAGTTCACAGTGGGAGGAGAGAGGAGGCCAAAGGGCCGAGAGGAATTAATGTTTAAATATTCGTCTTGTCATAATAGTTGAATTTTATTTCACAGGAGTCTGACCTGAACCAGGACTTTACTCCCTCACCTTTTACTATAAAGAGCCTGATTTCTAACTCAGGACATGTGATTCTTTGCATTGCTAGTCCCCCGTTTTCTCGGTCTGCTGGCTTTCAGAATAACATCACTATTCCTTGCCCACAAAAGTAGTCTCTCTATTTTTTGGCCTGTTGTGTAGCGAGCCATAAGAGCTTGGCCTTGGTGAGAAGATAATTTTATCTCTTCATTACAGGCCTTTGTTGATGGTCTCTGGGAAGAATCAATAACATGAGGGGGCCAACTTCATTAGGTGTGGTTCATGCACATCCATGTTCCCTGGAAAAACAAGGACCCTGAATTATCAAATTCAATACCATGTGGATTAGCAACAGGGCGGGGGAGAGAATAGTGTAAAACTGACTTGACTCATCATGGTTATGTTCAGGGTGCCCTTCCATAGATAAGCCAGTGTGGGTATAGTGCAGAATGCTCTACCAGCTGACCATGAACAAAGCAGGAAGGATGTGCAGGGACTGGGCTTTTTGTGGGAGGATAGTGACAGGTTATTAGGGACTGATTATGTGGTAGGAACAATGCACAGGAAAACTTAATCACTTTATCCATTGCATGAGCATATGTGTTGTCTCCATTTCTGACCAAGAAAGAAATTGTCTTAATTTTTGGATATTGAAGAGAGCAGTTATCTTCAGAGTAAAATTTAATCAGAAGCACCAGGAGTATGTGTATGTTTATGATTCAGATTTTAATTGCTGCCATTACATTTTGCTACTGTTTTATTGAGAATGTACCATAGGTCTCCTGTTTTAAGTAATAAAATTTAATCATCTTTTAAATCCTGGATGCATTATGTTCCTTTTACCAATACAGTTTTATCCTGCCTCAGTACCTTATAACAAGCTAGGAGTGCACCATTAGGTTCTCAGTGTTGACGATTTCTTCCCAATATGGGATCAAATAACATACAAGTTGGAGGTTATAAACTCATAAATTGTACTTGAGTTATTCTCTCCACTCTGTTGCAGGATATTCAGATGGCTGTAGTGCAAATAGCATAGCAGTGAATTTCATACTCTGACTTCCATTGATGTACAAAAATTGAATCAAATTTAAAGATCTAATTGGCTTTATTGAATGATTCATGCATTGGGCAGCATCCCACCTAGTAAATAGGTGCTCCAAGGAGCTGTACAAAGTGGAAGAACCCATGATGTTGAGCATCTTTTCATGTGCTTTTTGAATGTGTAGTTTTTATGTGGATATGGGACTCTTTGCACTTCTTGGACTTGCGTGATTTCCACGCTCTGTCTTCCAGCTCACTGATCCATTCTTCTGCCTCATTTAGCCTATTATTGACTTCCTCTATTGTATTTTTCATTTCAGTATTTCTTCAATTCTGTTTTGGGGTTACTTATGTTTTCCACATCTTTGTTAAAAAACCTCATTTCGGGCTTCCCTGGTGGCCCAGTGGTTGAGAGTCCGCCTGCCGATGCAGGGTACACGGGTTCGTGCCCCGGTCCGGGAGGATCCCACATGCCGCGGAGCGGCTGGGCCCGTGAGCCATGGCCACTGAGCCTGCGCGTCCGGAGCCTGTGCTCCGCAACGGGAGAGGCCACAACAGTGAGAGGCCCGCGTACCGCAAAAAAACCAAAAAACAACCCCCCCTCCAAAAAAATCAAAAGCCTCATTTTTCATTCTGTGCATCCATTCTCCTCCTGAATTGTTTGATCGTTTTTCCGATCATTACTCTGAGCTCTTCCTCGGGTAGATTGCGTATCTCCACGTCAGTTCTTCTGGGTTTTTGTCTTCTTTCTTCGTCTGAAACATTCCTCTGTTGCCTCATTTTGCCTAATTTGCTATTTTTATGTATGTGGTAGGTTTGTTACCTTTCTTGACCTTGGAGAAGTGGTCTTGGTAGAAGATGTCCTGTGCATCTCAGCAGTGTACTCCCCCTCATGTCACCCAAGGGCCAGAAGCCAGGTGGTTTCAGGGTAGTGTCTGGACTATATCTGGACTGTGTCTGCAGGTTGTATGACTGTAGTTTTCTTGCTTCTGGTGTCTGTGCCCTGGTTGGTGAGCAGGTTTATGTCTAGGGACATGTAGAGAGGTGGCTGCCTTAGGAAGCCTTTAGGCAGCCTGTCTGCTGATGGGTGGGGCTGTGTCAACTGAGACGATCGGTAGTGTTTTTTTTTTTTTTCCGGTTCATTCTCCTTTTGTATTTTCCATTGAAAGATTTTTATACGTGGAACCTTCCTTACATTTCAATAATATATTCCCTTTAGTCATGGTATGTAAACTTTTAATGTGACTTTGATTTTAGTTTACTATTTTTTTGTTTTCATTTTATTTTTAGCTGTGCAACGAGGAATGCGGTATTTTAGTTCCATGACCAGGGATGGTACCCGCGTCCCCTGCAGTGGAAGTGCAGGGCCCTACCCACTCGGTGGCCAGGGAATTCCCTGAGTTTACTATTGTTTTATTGATGATTTTTTGCGTCATTATTTGTTAGGGATTTTGCTGTGTGGTTTTCTGGTAGTGTCACCGTCTGACTTTGTATTAGAATAATTCTGGACTCATAGAGTTTGGAACTGTTCCCTTTTCTTCAATATATTGGGGAAGAGTTTAAGGAAGGGAGGTCTTAATTGTTTTTAAATGTTGGGTAGTGTTCTGCAGTGAAGCTCTCCGACTTTCCTTTGTTGTATGATTTTTGAATAGTGATTCAGTCTCCTTACAATGTGTAGGTTTGTTCGGATTTAAATTTTTTTCATGGTTCTATCTTGGTAGATTTTGTTTCTCTAGGAATTTATCTATTTTAGGTTAGCCAATATTTTTAAAAAATTATTTTTGGCTGCGTTGGGTCTTTGTTGCTGCAGGCGGTTTTTCTCTAGTTGCGGCGAGTGGGGACTCCTCTTTGTTTTGGTGTGCGGGCTTCTCACTGCGGTGGCTTCTCGTTGCGGAGCACGGGCTCTAGGTGCACGGGCTTCAGTAGTTGTGGCATACAGGCTCCGTAGTTGTGACTCGTGGGCTCCAGAGCACAGGCTCAGTAGTGGTGGCACGCGGGCTTAGTTACTCCTTGGCATGTGGGATCTTCTGGGACCAGGGATCAAACCTGTGTCCCCTGCATTGGCAGGTGGATTCTTAACCACTGCACCACCAGGGAAGTCCCTAGGTTAGCCAATATTTAGACATAGAATTGTCTAAGTATTTTCTTCTAAATTGAAAAAAAATTTTTTTGTAGGGTCAGTTGTAATCTTTTATAATGTCCCCTCTTTCATTTCTGATTCGGTAATTTGAGTCTTCTCGCTCTCTTTTTTAAATCTAGATAAGGATTTGTCCATTTTGTTCTATTTTTCAAAGAACTGTTGTGTTGTCTTTTTCTGTAGTTTTATTCTCTTTCATTTGTCTAATCCTTTTTCCTACCTTCTGCTAGCTTAGGCATATTTTGTTCTTCTAAGATCTTTTTACTTTGTTCTTTTTCAAAAAAAGGAATTTTTTATTCACAATGTAAATTCACAAGGGAATTCATTACAAGTGTGGAATAGGATAAGTATTTTAAAGAGCAATGCAGTTCTCATCAACAGAAAAGAATTTTTTCCCCCTATTTCGCTTTCTCTTTAGTTTGCAACCATAATTTCATATAGATAAAATAAACTTACTGTCATAATCGTTTCACAGTATGTATAAGTTCATTATGCTCTACACCTTAGAGTGATGTATGTCATTGTATAAAGAGTTGTTTATACAACTCATGTTACTGTGTAAATAGTTGGTTTTAAAAAGGCAAAGAATTAAAACACGTTGGACAAAACAAAGAATAATGCAGTTTATAACAATTTAAAAATATGTATTGCTGTTTTTAAGGCAATGGTTAGTGACCTAAATGATCACATGCCTTAGTCCTCCAGTCTCAGACTCCAGGTCCTGTCCCTGAGTTTCTGAAACTGAGTAGTATGTTGAATTTGACCTTCTGCATTAATAGGGAATAGAAACGGAAAAGCTATTTTATACGGTGTCAGTAGGGAATAGATCATTCTACCCAGAGAGAGTTTTGTATTTGTAATAGAGACTAGTCCCCATTATTTCTTTTAAAAAAAAATTATTTATTTTGGGCTGCGTCGGGTCTTAGTTGCGGCATACGGGATCTTCGTTGCCACATGCAGGCTTCTCTGTAGTTGTGGCCCGCGGGTTCCATGGCGGGTGGGTTTTGCAGCTTGTGGTTCTCGGGCCCCAGTTGAGTCGCGCGAGCCAGTAGTTGTGGAGTGTGAGCTTAGTTGTCCCACAGGATGTGGGATCTTAGTTCCCTGATCAGGAACCGAACCCGGGTCCCCTGCATTGCAAGGCGGATTCTTTACCACTGTACACAAGGGAAGTCACGGACGGCATTCCTATTTCTTAAAGTTACTTAAATTAATTCCCATTTAGGAAATGTTCCTGGATCCAACCGATGATCCATGTCAACCCCTCCCTCTGCTCCAGGAGACTCAGGTTTCCAGATCACTGAATTGCTTCCGCCTCACTAGCAGGATGTCAGAACAACCTGAGGGCAAAAATAGCTTTTTATTTAAACTCTTTTAGTCTTAAGAGGAAACATCTTGGCTTCAGACGTAATTGGCCCACACAGCCGTAACCTTTTACCCGCAAACTCTTGCAGAGAGTAACTTAAACCGGCCAAGGTACTGGAAGCACCAACCCCTCTCTGCTCCCAGATCCTCCCTCCGGCGCTCAGTGAGCACACCTGGGTGCTCTATTCGCCCCGCCCCTCACTGGTAGGGCCCCGCCCAGCCCCCGCCCCGGAAGCCTCGCCTCTAACTCCAGAAGCCCATTCCTAAGGACCCAGAAGCGGAGAGCGCGGAGCGAAGGTCACGGAGCGGAGCGTAAGTGTCGTCTTTCTAGCCTAAGTCTGTACTGCGCGGTACCGCTGTACCCCGTCCTTGGGGTGTGGGAGTTTCTAGGGACTTTAAACCCCAGCGTCCGGCCCTACGCCCCAGTAAATCCAGACGTCGCCCTTACGGGTCGGGTATTTTTTCCCTGGGTTTGAAGTCTCGCAGAGTCCAGTCTTCTGACTCTTCTGCCTCTGGTCCACGTAGACACCGCTTTTCGCAACATTTTCCTGCTTATAACGTTACTTTCCCGGCCTCCCTTGTGAAGTCCTCTTCCGCGAGGTGGATGCGCGACCCCCAGCCTCACCCTCTCGGCCCCTGGAGGGCAGCGCCGGTCGCCCTGCTCCCGGACAGCCCGCGTCCTCTCCCCGGTCCTGGGATTCTGGAGAGCCCGCCCCTCTCCGGAGACCCCCTCCTTCCCAGCCCCTCTGTCCTCGCGTCCTCCTCAGGCCGGTCCTTCTGCTTCGCAGGCCTCTCCTTCGTAGTCAGCCCTTCCCCGCACCTCGCGTAGGGGGCGGTGACCTGGGCCAGACGCGGGAACACCCAGTGTAGTTACTTCCCCAATTCCACCCCGTTAGAAAATATTCCCTTCTGGTAGATGGGCATTTTATACATGAGTGAATGGAATCAGGAAAAGCAGAGACAGAGAGGCTGAGATCGAAGTAGAAAAACTGAGGAGAAAAGAATGAGGGAGAACCAGTGGGAACATAGAGGGTGGCTGAAGGACGTGCAAAGATAGTTAAATGAAAGTGATTAAGTCTTGAAAGTAGCAGGTGAATATAATGGAGAAGGAACTTAAGCCGGATCTGCAGAGATTGCACGGCAACATAAGGAAGGGGACCTGGATCAGCCTTAGAAGGGGATAACAATGGAGTCACTTCACACAGAGTAGGGGGAGATGATAAAAGAGTTGGAACCTTGGCCTCCAGAGTATCATGGTGCTGGGAGAAAAACCGGACAAAGGGTGACAAGAAGAGCAGCGGAAGAGAGAGAGCAGGAAGGAAGCACAGTCACCTGGGGTGCCCGAGAGTGGGGAGGAAGGTAGAGTAACAGAGACGGGAAGGAGTGTAACTGGAGGCATGGTGTAACCGCAGAGATGGGGGAAGAAAGAAGTATATAGAGATTTAGGACAGTCATACAGGTTGAGGAGAAGGACCATCAAGAGGGGGAACAGTTTGCAGAGCGGGGCAGGACAGGTGTGAGGGAAGAAATGGAGAGGAAGGGCAGGAACAGGAAAGTAGAGGAAAAGAAATAGAGAAAGGCAGAAACGAAATAGGGAGACAGATAAACAGACTAAAATGGAAACACCTAATAGTGCAGATGGAGGGGGAAAGTGGATCCAGATGGGTGGTGAGTTGTTTGGATGTGGATGATTATGTTGTGATAATAATGATTTGAGTCTGTAGAATCTAATGTATTTAACATTTGTTTAAATTATACAGGTGAGGATGAGAATTGCACAACTCCTGCCTATAAGGCCTGTGCATTTTATAATTATTTGTATCAGAAGAAAACTTCCATTTGCAAACCCTGTTGAGCAGAGAGGCAGTGACTTGATTCACTTAGATGTGGGTCACCCCCTTCCCTTTTCCTGGTGTGGAGTAGAGCTCAGGGGAGAAAAGTGGAGCAAGAAAAGACTGACTGTGTCACTACATGGTGTCTTTTAAAGGAACATTGAAAGTGTGTTTTGTAATGGATTTACTTCTTTTCTTTTTGTTTCTTTACATTTAATTCTTTTGTAGCTTGAAATAAATCTTAGTTCATTCAATTTCTTTGTTCCTCTGAATAATTTTTAATTTCTGAAAGAAGCTTTGCTGGCCTCCAATATTCTATACATGTCATTCATTGCATCGTTAAGAAGGAACTATGTAATTTCTGCATTTAGGGGATTTTCCTGTTTTCCTTATGCTTTCTGTTTGTAGTTTTGTTTCACTGTGGTTAGAGAAGATACTTTTTTTTTTTGTTTGGTCTTGTCGGGTCATAGTTCCCTGACCAGGGATCGAACCTGTGCCCTTGGCAGTGATCGTGTGGAGTCCTAACCACTGGACCTAGCACCAGGGAATTACCATAGCCTCAGTTTTGTTTTTTTCAAAACGTTGACACCGGTCTTCTGGATTAAAAATAATAGATTATTGCTTTTAAAAATTTGTTTCAGATTTATCCCTGGCTTGAGTGACTTAGTGACTCTGACTCCCCCCATTCCTGAGGGCTGAGATCTGGGCTGAGGGGCTCTGCTTTGCGTGGGGATGGATCAGGGCTGGTCTGTGACCTGAAGGGGATCGTCGGGTCCAGCTGAGGTGCCCGCTGCTGCTGTGTACGTGAGGGCCTCACCAGGAGGGGAGAGTGACTTGGTTTTTTGTTTGTTTTATTTTTGTTTGTTTTTGGCCTTGCCACACGGTTTTCGGGATCTCAGTTCCGTGACCAGGGATTGAACCTGGGCCACAGCAGTGAGAGCCTAGAATCCTAACCACTAGGCCACCAGGGAAGTCCCAGGGAAGCGTGATCTGAAGGAAAGTGTGGGAAACTTCACCTGTTGGTCTCTGTGTGGGAGTTTACTGTCCTGAGTCCCTCCTGGGACAGTGGGCAGCAGAGGACCGTCTGTTCTACATGCTGAGGGCTTCCCTGTGTGTGTGGTTGTGAGTCAGAAAGGGGGTGTGTTGATTCTAAGCATTAAACAGTATCTTTCAAACTTTCAAGATCGACTGCTAAAGAATCATGTTGCCTAAGGAGTATGCCCGGAAGAGGAGGGAGAGGAAAGAACTGGAGTTTGGAATGGCTCTTTCTCAGGTAAAGTCATATTCTCAGTTGATTATTTCATCTTATTTCTTGAAATGCCATTCTTTGGACTCACTGATCTTCTCTGACTCTGAAGTATCCTGCCTGACACCTGTACATCACAGTCACCAGGGCCTTCCCTCAGGGCCTGTCACGTCCACTTGGATTCCATCTCCACACAGTCCTGTGACCTGGATCTGGCACTTGTGAAGTTTCTCTGCTGGGCATAGTCCTGGGCAGGGCTTCACACCCACGGATGGGTCAATGCTGTTGGGCACCAGGGATTGTAAAGGGGCCCCATCTGAATGCACTGTCCTCTCTTTACAAAACAGAATGAAGAAGCTACACGTGGAAGGCAGATATTAATATGCAGAAATGCCTGGTAAGTTCTGGAAGAGACCAATAAGGAGAAATTTGTTCTGAGTTTTTATAATACATTCTCAGCTAAATGACTCTGTCACTGATTTCAACATCTTCATGATTGGGAATGGAATGGAAAGTTCAGAAATAGACATCAGTGATAAGAGGGTGTTTTATTCCATTATCCATTTTAAACTATGAAATCAACCTAAATTGTTGAGATTTGGAAGTTCTTGGAATCAGTTTTGATACCTCCATTCTTCAGTTTTTTGTCTTTTCACTGTGTTGGTTGCGTCCTTTGACACATAGAAGGTTTTACCTTTGATGTAGGTAAGGTTTCAGCTTCATTCTTTTGCAGGGAGGTATCCAGTTTCCCAGCAGCATTTGTTATTGAGACTCTCTTATTTTCATTTTGTAGTCTTAGCACCTTTATGAATACATTTTACATATATGCAAAGGATTATTTCTGAGCATTCTCTTGTGTTCAATTGGTTTATGTATCTGTGTTTATACCAATACCACACAATCTCGATTGCTTTGTGATATGTTTTGAAATCTAAAAAAGGGAGGTCCCCATCTTTCTTCTTATTCAAGAGACTTTGGGCTATTTGTGGTTTTTTGAAATTCTCTATGACTTTTAGCATGATTTTTTCTGTTTCTTCAAAAATTGCCATGGGAATTTTGATAATCATTCCATTGAATCTGTAGCACACTTTGGGTAGCTGGGATACTTTAAGAGTATTAAGTCTTCTCGTCCATGTATATGGAATGACTATTTGTATCTTTTAAAATTTCTTTTAGCACTGTTAAGTAGTTTTCAGCGTATACTTCTTTCACCTTCTTGGCGAATTTATTCCTAAATATTGATATTTCATTTGTTTTTAATGCTATAATAAATAAGATTGTTTTCTAATTTTCCTTTGATACTGTTCATTGTGTATAGAAACGCAACTGAAAGTTTTTGCATGTTGGTTTTGTATACTGCAATTTTTCAAAACATGTATTTTGATATAGCAGTTTTCTTGTCAAAAGGTTACGGCTTCTTCATATCAAACCTTGTCTAGGAAAGAAGATAATTTTACTTCTTTTTCAATTTGGATTACTTTGATTTCTTTTTCTTGTCTAATTGCTCTGGCTAGGGGTTTCAGTACTTTGTTGAAGAGTAGTGCAGAAAGTATGCATCCTTGCCTTCCTCCTGATCTCAGAGGAAAAGCTTTCAGTCTTTCATGTTTGAGTATGACTTTAGCTGTGCTCTTTTCATAAATGGTGTTTATTATGTTGAGATAATTACTGTTTCTAGTTTGTTGAGTGTTTGTCTTTTTTTTTTTTCTAATATTTATGTTTATTTATTTATTTGGCTGCACTGGGTCTTAGTGGCAGATCCTGATCTTTCATCTTCATTGTGGCATGGGAGATCTAGTTCCCTGACCAGGGATTGAACCTGGGCCCCCTGTATTGGGAGCGCGGAGTTGTAGCCACTGGACTTGGACCACCAGGGAAGTCCCAAGTGTTTATATCTTGAAAGTTTGTTGCATTTTGTCAAATGCTTTTTTCTGCAGTAACTGAGATGATCCTTTGTGACATTTTTTTTTTTTTTTGCGTTATGCGGGGCTCTCACTGCTGTGGCCCCTCCCATTGCGGAGCACAGGCTCCGGATGCGCAGGCTCAGCGCCCACGGCTCACGGGCCCAGCCACTCTGCAGCATGTGGGATCCTCCCGGACCGGGGCCCGGACCCACGTCCCCTGCATCGGCAGGCGGACGCTCAGCCACTGCGCCACCAGGGAAGCCCCCTTTGTGACATTCTTTCCTTTATTTTGTTAATGTGGTGTACCACATAATTGATTTTTGTATGTTGAGTCCTCCTTACCCCTTATAGTGATATAAATAAAATCCACTTGATCATGATGTCAGGTCTTTTTAATGTGGTGTTGAATTTGGTTTGCTAATGTTTTGTTAAAGATTTTGTATCAATATTCATCGGGGATATTGATTTCTAGTTTTCCTTTCTTCTGTTTTTGTCTGGGTTTGGTATCAGAATCATGATGGCTCCATACGTTGAGTTTGTGAGTGTTCCCTCTTCAACTCTAACATTTTTAGCAAGATTAGTGGTAATTCTTTTGTAAATGTTTGGTAGAATTGGGTCCTGGGTTTTTTTTGTTTGTTTGAAGTTTTTGATTACTGCTTGAATGTCTTTAGTTATAATTGGGTTCAAATTTTTTTTATTTCTCAAGGATTAAGATTTAGTAGGTTATATGTTTCTAAGAATTTACCTGTATCTTCTCCATTCTATAATTTGTAGGCATTATTGTTCATAATACTCTTTTATAATCCTTTAAAACATTTCTTTGACATTATTTGCAATCTCTCCACTTTAGTTTCTGTTTTCAGTTATATGAATCTTTTTTCTTAGTCCAGCTAAGTGTTTTTCCATTGAATTTTTCAAAACACCAACGCTACTTTGCTTTTATATTTTTCTGCTTTGTATTTTGTTAATCTCTGGTCTAATCTTTATGATTTACCTCTTTCCTTTTGCTAAATTTGGGTTCAGTTTGATTTTTTTCCCCCTACTTCATAGAGGTATAAAAATAGATTTCTGGTTTGAGATCTTTTCATTTTCTTATTTTAAGCATTTAGATTTCCTTTTTAGTACTGCCTAAACTGTGTGTTCAAAATTTTGGTATGTTGTATTTTCATTTTCAGCCCAATATTTAAAAATTCCCTTGTGATTTGTTCCTTGACCCATTGGTGCTTTATTTTTATTTATTTATTTATTTTTTTTTTGCGGTACGTGGGCCTCTCACTGTTGTGGCCTCTCCCGTTGCGGAGCACAGGCTCCGGACGCGCAGGCTCAGCGGCCATGGCTCACGGGCCCAGCCGCTCCACGGCATGTGGGATCTTCCCGGACCGGGGACCGAACCCGTGTCCCCTGCATCGGCAGGCGGAGTCTCAACCACTGCGCCACCAGGGAAGCCCTGGTGCTTTAAAAATGAGTTGTTTAGGGAATTCCCAGGCAATGCGGTGGTTAGTGCTCCACACTTTCACTGCTTAGGGCCTGGGTTTGATCCCTGGTTGGAGAACTAAGATCTCACAAGTGGCGTGGTGTAGCCAAAAAGGAAAGAAAGAAAGAATGAATGAATGAATAAAATATTTCAACTTAAAAAAAAGAATGAGTTGTTTAATTTCCACAATTTGGGGAATTTTCTTTTTTCTTCTGCTGTTTATTTTTAGTTTTATTTTATTATGATAGAGAACATACTTTTTATGATCTCAATCTCTTAACATTATTAAGATTTGCTTTTTGCCTTAATACATGGTCTGTTGTGGAGAATGTTCCATGTGTGCTTGAGAAGCATGTTTCTGCTGCTCTTGTTGGGTGGAGTGATCTGTACATGTCTGTTATGTCTACTTGGTCTACAGTGTTGTTCAAGTCCTCTGTTTCCTTGTTGATGTTCTCTTTGGTTCCATCCATAAGTAAACATTAGCCATTGAAGTCTCATACTATTCTTGTGCTGTTTCTCTCTTCATTTCTGTTAATGTTTGCTTCCGTTTTCTTGGAGATCTAATGTTATATTTGTATATTGTTTTTGTTTTATCTTTTTGATAAATTGACTGTTTTATCATTATATAATGTTTTTTGTCTTTTTATTTTTTTCTGGTATTATGGAGTCACCCCTGCTCTCTTTAGGATGGAATATCTTTTCCATCCTTTCACTTTTCACCTTTCCGTGTCTTTCGATGTGTGAATGTTCAGAGTTTTAAATCTCTGATATGCTCTCTCTGTGGCTCTCACTCTCGCTCTCGGTTTTCCTCCTGTTACTTCCTCTAGTGGTCCCTGCTCAGGAAACCTGTACAGTGGTGAAAGGCAGGAACCCTGGCCAGCCCGCTTCACTGCACTGTAACTTCAGAGGGAATGCATCAAGTATTTCCTTTTCATCATGATGTTTGTTTGAAATGTGTTTTTTAATAATAATTTTTTTCCACATTCTTTTTTTCATGATTTTTAATTCTCCAAGAAGTTTATAACTTCACTGTTGTGATAAACTTTTTCTTAATCTGTGAAAATAATGTAGAATACTACTATTCTAATTTTGAATCGATTTTTAAATAATTAATTAATTAATGGCTGCGTTGGGTCTTTGTTGCTGCGTGTGGGCTTTCTCTAGTTGCGGCAAGCAGGGGCTACTCTTTGTTGTGGTGCATGGGCTTCTCATTGCAGTGGCTTCTCTTGTTGCGGAGCACGGGCTCTAGGTGCGTGGGCTTCAGTAGTTGTGGCATGCAGGCTCAAGAGCTGTGGCTCGCAGGCTCTAGAGCGCAGGCTCAGTAGTTGTGGCTCACACACTTAGTTGCTCCGCGGCATGTGGGATCTTCCCGGACCAGGGCTCGAACCTGTGTCCCCTCCATTTGGCAGGCAGATTCTCAACCATTGTGCCACCAGGGAAGTCCCAAATCAATGTTTTATTATTAGAAAAAACAAGGAAACTCTTGGCCTGTTGTTAATGCCCAAGTATGTAAATTTTAATGGCTGAAGTTGTATTTATATTTTTGAATATAGTTATTGAGATTGGAGTTAAAGTATTTTTTTTTATGATCATACCATTTTTCTTTTAGTAGCCTATTATGGAATCATGTTGACAAACTAAATTCAGTACAGTTGATACATTTTCTTTGTCTGAAAGATGCTGAAATACCCGTGAATAAAAGGGTGATTAAAAAATTGAAAATATGTCAGGAAACAACTATCATTTCAGTAATTTAGTGTGGACATGTGTGTGCATAAGTTCATGGATGTGCACGGCATCCCTGGTTTAGATAAACAACATGATTTTAAAACTATGTATTACATCTTTTGTAGTCAAAATTATATCTTCAGTATACTCATTGGCCTTGAATTTTTTCTATGCTATCATGTTAATGGTTTAAATTGTAGTAAGATTACTAAAATTTTTAATATATGTGTGTGCGTGCCCACATTTATAATGGCCTTTCATGCTTTTCTGCATTCACCTTGGACTTTTTTCAGGTTTTCTCAGGTATCTCTCTGTGTGTCCTTTTAATGCTCTCTGTTACTTATCTGTTTGATTTTTAAGTTTCAGTTTCAGAGCCCAACCCTCTGAGTTTAGGTGCTTGCTGTGTCATTTGTTAACTTCTTGACCTGAGTCAAGTTTCTCAGAGGGTCTCTGACACAGTTTTTTCTTCTGTAAGATGAGAACAGATCTTTCTCTAATGAGCTATTACGTTGATGATATGTTCATACCCGTAAAGCACTTTATAGAGTACTGTTTAGATTAATATTACAGTAATTTAGAGTAATAAGAAGTGTTCCAGGGACTTTCCTGGTGGTCCAGTGCTTAAGCATCCGCCTTCCAATGCAGAGGATGCGGGTTCGATCCCAGGTCAGGGAACTAAGATCCCCCATGCCACAGGACGACTGAGCCCCTGCGCCACAACTAGAGAGAATCCCGTGCGCTGCCCTGAAGAGCCCACACACTGCAATGAAAGATTCTGCATGCCGCAACAAAGATCCCACTTGCCACAACTAAGACCCGACGCAGACAAATAAATAAAATAAATTAATTAAAAAAGAAAAGTATTCCCAAACTTTTAATCATTGTTGTTATAATCATCATAATTGAAGATTTTGACTTTTCTCTAGAGCCATTGTGGACTTTGTCTCTCTCAAGACGCCACTCAGACTGCAACTCATCAAGATATTGACTTTCAGTTACTGTGTAGAACATAATATCAAACGCATCTGGATAGACAACCCATTTTTGAGTTTTATTTATAGATGTTTCATGGATTTTCCACAAAGATGAAAAACGCTTAGTAATTGGAAGATATCATAATTTCTTATGAAAAAGCATAAGGAGTTAAAATTAGAGGCACATAATGTCTCCCAATACTTCTACATGGACCTGGTAGAACATACACTTCAACCAAGTCAATCCTTACCCCTTACTCCTCTTTTCCTTTTGTATGAAGATGTGAACTCTCCTCATGGCCCCTTGGTGAAAATATATTTTCATTTCAGGAACGGTTGACTTTTGAGGATGTGGCCATCGAATTCACTCAGGAGGAGTGGGAATGCTTGGACCCTGCTCAGAGGGCCTTGTACAGTGACGTGATGGTGGAGACCTACAGGAACCTGATCTCCTTGGGTGAGGATAACTTCCCTCCACAGCTGGGATTTGCCTTTGCATCTTCCCCTCTGTGCCTCTTGGGAGGCCCTGTTTCCTTTGATCTGAAAAGCCTGTGGACTCAGACATGAAGTGCCATCATGCGTTTAAACTGACCCTTTCTTTGGATAATCTGTCCATTTCATGTTACATCAGGAGTTGTTCCAGAGCTTAATTATGTATAAAGCTCAATGGCAAACTTTAAACAAATACCCAATTTCCCATTTTCTACCTTTTGGCTTTTGACTTAGTGTTTCTAGGAAGAGAGCTCAATATTTGCATATTATATACTGTTCCTGATGCATTTAGAAGGAGGCAGTGGATGAATTTGTGAAATATTTTTCCTGACCCACCTGTAATGTCCTCACTCCTTAGTTGAAGAAAGAGCTGTGATTTTCAGAAAACCGTAGCACTTTACATTTTTTGTTCTGATAATCAGGCAGTTCTGTTTTTGATCTGAATATTATCTCCCTTTTGGAGCAAGAGAAAGAGCCCTGGACTGTGATGTGTGCTGTGAAAAGACCCAAAAACCGAATGGGTGGGAATGTGTGAGAAGTGTGAACACAGATGGGACCTCATAAGGGCAGAGAGGAAGCCACAACATTAATAGTGTTTGGGAAACTTTTCTCACGGTGGAGAGGTTTTTTTTGGGAAAACAGAAGTTCATTTACTGAAAAGTCTCAGAGGATAGTTTTCATCTCCTGGAGTTATCACCCTGTCCTTCATCATGGAAGATGCTTTCTTTCACCCTGCAATGGTGCTGCAGCTCCACCAGAGACAAAGGCAAGGTCTTTATCATGATCCACAGCACTCATCATCTGGCTGCTGTGAACTGGGTTTTGCTTGACTTTGAGGAGCATGAGACGGGCTGTGTTAAAGGGGTCTCTTGCCGCTTCATGTCTCCTTCTGGTCTTGATTCCCCTGGATGCTCAGTCCTTAGTCCCTGTAGATCAGAGCTGATGCCTCTGGAGTCCCACCTCTGAGCCCATCCTGGTTTGATCAGAGTTGCTGTACTTGGAAGAAGTAATCAGAAGATGTGGAAAAACTGGCTGCTCTGTATTCCACGTGGCCCCTCAGCACCTGCCGTAGCTGTCTCAGGTCCTCTCTGCTGGTTTAGATCCATCAGCCGTTTCTTCTGTTCAGGAGTGTGTGGAACAGCTAGGTGGATTGGATCTTCTGTGCTTGTACTTAGGAAAACTGTAAGGACAGTGGATGGAGAGATCCTCTTTTTGATCCTAAATACTACCAGGAGACCAGTGGTGAATCTGTCAGGCTCTTAGCTTGGCATCTGTGGATTGAGCACATGGTCCCATCTCAAGATCCTTTAATGTCTGACCCTCACATGTTGCATTGTTTTTTGCTCCTGTACTGCTCTCCTTAGTCTTGGAATGTCGACTCTTCCTGATTTTACATTCTGCTTAGTTTGTATGATTTCATCTCTTAAATTCCTTTGCAGTATAGTCCTAAGGTCTGAAATTTTATCTGGTTTCTTTGCTCTGATAATGTACCCATGTGTAATAGGGAACTTGTGGTGGATTCTCTAGGGATTGTGTTTACTGGTTACCAGAAAACCTTTAATGGAGACACTTTCCCTCATGTTGTAATATTTTCCTCCTCCGTTCAAAGTCACCACTTGAAGCTACTCATTGGAGTGGTCAGCACGTTTTGAGACACGAGGTAGAAAGTATCACGAGAGCCTGTCTGATAAGTCTTTCCAGGTGTTTTTCTGGCTTTGGGGACTGTCACAAAAGCCTGTCTCAAGGGCACTATGACAATGTTGTTCACATATACCAATGATCATACATTTTAGCCTCTGTAAATGGTGTTAGAAATTTATCCCAGGATGCTAAATGTGAACTGATCTGTTGTTGATGCCACATTTTTCGTTGCCTGTGTGCCATTGTTCATTTACCTCAACAGCTAATATTGAAGAATCTTAATGAGGGAGCTTATGAAGTGGAATGATACTTTCAGTGATGAAGAATCATTTGCTTTTTTTAAGACAGTGGTACTTTCATTTTGTATATTCATATGCATTATATGTGATTCTTATTTGTATTTATTATTAAGTTCATACATCTTGTGTTAATCTTCGTGTTTTTGTTTTTATGTTTGCAATGTGTGGGTTGGTTGATTGGGGAAGGTCCCCCCCCCGCCCCGCCATGGTAGAATTGATCAGTCCCTTTTAGAGTTCTTTATGTATTCTAGATGTTAATCTGTTATCAAATATATAATTTGCAAATATTTTCTCTTATACCATAGAGTCTTTTCACTTAGAGCATGCTTTAATTCACAGTATTTTATAATTTTGATATAGTCCAATTTATCTGTTTTTCTTTCGTGGGCTGTGTTTTTTAGTGTTATCTGATAAGTCCTTGGTGAATCCAATGTCAAGAAACTTTCCTTGTATGATTACTTCTAGTAGTTTCATACACTTGGGAGTTAGGTTTAGCTTTTTGAACCGTCTTGAGTTAATTTTTTTCTGTCGTGTAAGACAGTGGTGCAACTAAATACTTTTGTTAGTGGGTTTCCAGTTTTCTCAACACCTTTTGTTCAGTAGACTGCCCTTCTCCCATCGAATGGTCCTGACACCCTTGTGGAGCATCAGTTTAGCATATACACAAGTTTTTTTTTTTCTGATGTCTCTGTTCTGTTTCAAGGATCCCTCTCTCTGTCTTGATGCCAGTACCACATTGTTTTGGTAAGTTTAGCTTTGGAAGAAGTTTTGAAATAAGTGTGAGACCTTCAACTTTGTTTTTTTTCAAGCTTATTTTTGTTATTCAGGGTTTCTGGAGATTCCATATGAAACATCGGATGGATTTTTCTGTTTCTTTGGGAAAAAGCTATTGGGATTTCACTAGGGGATAATTTGACGTGTTGACCAGTTTGTGTAGTATTGACATCTGGACAGTATTGACTTTCAGTCTAGGGACTTGAGATACCTTTGCATTTATTTGTGTCTTTTATAAGCTTTTTCAGTGGTCTTTTTTTTTTTTTAATATTTATTTAATTATTCGGCTGCGCCAGGTCTTAGTTGCACCACTAGGGATCTTTAGTTGCAGCATACAGGATCTTTAGCTGCGGCATGTGAACTCTTAGTTGCAGCATGTGGGGTCTAGTTCCCTGACTAGAGATGAACCCCGGGCCCCCTGCATTGGAAGTGCGGATCCTTAGCCACTGGACCACCAGGGAAGTCCTTCAGCAGTCTTTTTAATTTGCAGTGTGCAAGTCTTTCCTGTCATGTATAACATTATGTCTAAGTATTTTATTTTATTATTTGATGTTATTGTAAATGGAATTGTTTTCTCAATTTCTGTTTTGATTGTTCATTTTTAAGGTTTAGAAACCGAATTGATTTTTGCATGTTGACTTGGTGTCTTGTAAGTTTATTGTAGTCTTTCTTTATTTCTAGCAGTTTCTTTTTTTACAGAGTCTTCAGGGTTTTCTTTTCTTTTTTTTTTTTTTCCGGTACGCGGGTCTCTCACTGTTGTGGCCTCTCCCGTTAAGGAGCACAGGCTCCGGACACGCAGGCTCAGCGGCCATGGCTCATGGGCCCAGCCGCTCTGCAGCATGTGGGATCTTCCTGGACCAGGGCATGAACCCGTGTCCCCTGCATTGGCAAGCGGACTCTCAACCACTGCACCACCAGGGAAGCCCTTCAGGGTTTTCTACATGTTATATAATGTCAGAGATAATTTTGCTTCCTCTCATTATTGGGATCCCTATTATCTCTTTTTCTGCGTCTGTGTTCTTTCTAGGACTTCGGGTATTATGTTTTTTTAGAAATACTGAGAGCAGGTATCCTCGTCTTGTTTCTGATCTTAGAGGAAAAGCTTTCATTCTTTCACCATTAAGTATGATGAGAGGTCTGAGGAGCTACTCCATTGAAGCATGGCTTTCAGCATAGTCCTATACCTTTTCTGAACAGAGAACATATTCAAACATAATGAGGTTGAACCCAAGTTTGTGTGCTCAGTGAGGCCAAACAAACTGAAACTTTGGAGTTTGGAGCAGAGAAAGGTTTATTAATCAAAGAGGCACCAACCCGGAAGATGGTAGACCTAAACTTGCCTCAAATGCATCTTGCGGGTTGGCCAGGGTGTAAGATTTTTGGAGAGAAAAGGAGAGAAGGGAGGGGAGTGTCTGTGATCCCAGCTTCCCTGTAAGATCTCAGCTGCAGACTTTGGGCACCATGTTGTGGCATCTTCCTGATTATTCTGTAGGTTCCTGCAAAACAAATTCCTAATCACAGTCTTCTGATCCCTTAACTTCCTTCTGGGAGAAAGCAAAAGCAATAGTTGTGACATTTTATTATTTACTTAGAACCGATGTGACGGCTTAAGAATTTTACTTCTCACTTGGCCCTCTGACTGTCATCAATTTTTTCTGTCCTCTTGGGGCAGCTGGTTGAAGCCACAGTTTGGGCTCATAGATCAAGGTATCAGTTTAAGCTATGAGTCATGGGAAAGATTATGTTGGGCTTGCTTTTCCTTTCTTTCTGCATTCCCTCCTTCCCCTAATGAGTATCTGCTTGAATCTGCTCTTTGAAACTCAGGGAAGATCCAGGAGACCGAAGCCTTTTTCTACCAAGAGGAATCACGGCACTTGGAAAGGCTTTTGGTATCTAGGAGGTATCTAGGAGGGCCCTGCTGGGTCCCGTTTGTTTCAATCCCCTGTTTTCTTGATACTGCTCAGTCTTGAGGGGAACAGGTGTGGGAAGACAAGAAATGGAATAAAATTTTGGATAGAGAGGTTAATCAAACAGCAGGGGAACACAGATTTAGGGAGACTCACTTTTACAATCATGGCCTCCTACTCTACTGGACTGTTTATTCGGTTTCTTTGTATCTGCACATGTGTGTACAGAAGAAACTCATTCTTCTCCTTTAGATGGCCTTTTCCTGTTTTTTTTCTTCTGATTTTTGCTAAGAACATTCTTGTGCAATCTCCTGGAATATTATGTGTTTTTCTGGAATGTAAGTATGACAGTGGAAATTATGGAATATACAGTTGGATACATTACACAGCAAATCATATAATAGATATAATCCTGCTTTCTCCCTACAGCATCGCACTCTCTCCCTTTTTAAATCTCTCTTCTTTCTGTCCTATACTCATAGTATAATTCTCATAGTTAAAAATCGACAGTATCATATCAATTGCTAAACCAATTCTTTTTTTTTAAGGTCAGTATTTTAGTTGCCCTCGTACAGTTATATTCACACAGGTACGCAGTCACCAGCTGTGCTCCCATGTATACATATACGCTGCCCACCACTCAAATCCTTTCTCAGTCCTGACTTTTCCTCACATGGTATCTTGATGTCCTGGAAACACTGTCATTTGCTCCAATATTTAAGTTGTTCTCCTTGTGGTCCCCAAATCGACAGCACTCCTTCACCCATCCATCCACATTCCACATCACTCACACTGTAGAAATGATCCCTCATAATCTGTTGAACAACTTTCTCAGGACATGACCCAAGGCACTACCTGCCACAGTGATGACTCAGAAACCATTTCCCAGAGGGACGGCCGAATAAACTTAGTAGTTACACAGCTGACTTCTTCTTGCATCTCCCTTGACGTTTTCTTTCTAAACTTCTGGTATTAGTTGTATTATTTGGTAATCTGTCCTGCCTGTGGGTGGTCATGCTTAAGAATGAGCGTTCTCAGTCTATAGGTCCGGATTCAAGTTGTGGTTCTGTCACCCCTTTCTGTGTCAGTTGGGTTAATGTACATAAACCTGTGCATCTACTGCCCTGATTTTAAAAATCATGTTAATTTACCTCAAGCCTTTTAAAACAAATTTTTGCTGTTAGATGGCTTAGAACATTGCATGTTTTTTCATAAATAGTGAAAAGTTACTTTTTTAGAAAAAGATATGTTAGTATTCTGTCATGTTTTTCATGATACACCTTTGTCTTCATTATATCCTGCTTGCTTTTCGTTTGCACTTTGTTCTCAGCAACGTGTCTGACCTCAGTTAATGAGTATACAAAGTGTTCACTGTTCATGCCATATATTTTGGAACTACCTTTTTAATGGTACTGCATAGATAGGGAATTCTCTACTTATTGCCTGATAGAGAACTGAAGAATATTTTACATATTAATTTATACGTGTGATTTACAGATGGTGGTTGTTCAGCATGTATTATGCAATACGACTAATGTACTACTTGTTAATGTTATAAAATGCTTTTCCTTATGGGTACATAGTTTTATAGCATGATTTAGAAAAATGCATTATTTTCTTAACAACTGTTTTGTTGGATTCTTCACTTTCTCTATGCTGTATCTGTTTTACAATTCTAAAGAGCCAGTTACTTAGATTATTCATTGGCAGAGCTAATTTTGTATTATTTACCATTATAATATGTTGTCAGTTATTTAGCATTGATTTATGTATAGGAAGTAGGCAGAATATATCTGCAGTATAAAAATTTTTCTCCTCAATTATGAGCCAGCAGCATGTTTACTGTTAATGAGTATGGTCTTTGGGGTTATGGTGGAAAAATACCCTTTCTCTGAGAGCTGACATATGTTTGTCAAATGTGAGCGTTTTTGTCTTAGGAGTTTGAAACTAGACTACCCTAAAAGTAATTTGAATTATATTTTATCACTCTTTCTTTAGTTAAGCATTACATGCTTTGAGTTTATCAAACTTTTAAGATCATGTTTGGAAAGTTTCCTAACTGTGCTTGGTATAAGTATTACTTTTGGTGTAATATCATGTATTCAACACGAAATATTTATTTGTGAATTGTAGTGACAGGATACCTATAGATGTTTATGTCTTGTAGATATTTTTCCTATACATGTGATCAAGCAATTACAACCAAAAGCGAACACTGATCCAGGAGAAGTGTTCCAAACACTGATGTTGGGAAGACCTGAAAACCATGAAGTCAAAACATTTGCACATCAGAGAAATCCAGGAAGATATGTATGACTTTCAGTGTTGGTGCAGAGGTAATGAAAGAAATGACAAAGGAATGCCTATAACCCATAATGGAAATCTCACTGATGAAAGAGATTGACATGGTAAAAGGGATGTAGGAATCAAACCCACTAGAAATAGGCTTGGATTAAATGTTCAAGAGAAACTGTAGATATTTAAAACTGATGGGATATTTTATGAATGTGATGAAGTTGAAAGATCTAACAACAGTAGTTCCTCATTTTCACCACTTCAAAGAATTCCTCCTAATGTCAAAACCAACGTCCCTAATACATATGAGAATGATTTTATCCATCTTTCAATACAGACACAAGATCAGAAAGCACTCAGGGAAAGACCTCACAAATGTAATGAGTGTGGCAAAACCTTTCTTCAGGGATCTCACCACATTAGATATCGGATCATCCACACAAGAGAGAAATTACAGAAATGTGATGTATGTGGCAGAGTCTTTAGTCATAATGCAAAGCTTGCAACCCATCAGAGGATTCATACTGTGGAGCAGCCTTACAAATGTAATGAGTGTGGCAAAACTTTTAATGGCAGCTCATACCTCAGGAGACATCAGATCATTCATATAGGAAAAAGTGTATATAAATGTATGTATGTGGCAGACTCTTTAGCCAAAGCTCACACCTTGCTGCTCATCGGAGGGTTCATACTGGAGAGAAACCGTATCAGTGTAATGACTGTGGCAAGGTTTTTAGTCAGTATGGAACCCTTGCAAGCCTTCAGAGAGTTCATACTGGAGAGAAACCTTATGAATGTAATGAATGTGGTATGGCCTTTAGTCAAAAACCATATCTTCAAGTTCATTGTCGAATACATACTGGAGAGAAACCTTTCAAATGAGTGTGGCAAGGTCTTCAGTCTAAAATCACACCTTACAAGTCATCAAAATTCACATCTTACAGATCATCAGAGTACATAACGTGGAGAAAGCTTTCAGATGTAATGACTGTGGCAAGGCCTTTAGTGTAAAGGGAACCCTTCTTTTAAGTCATCAGAGAATCCATAGTGGAGAGAAACCTTACAAATGTAATGAATGTGGTAAGGCCTTTCGACAAAAGTCACATCTTCGAATTCTTTGGAGAATTCATACTGGAGATAAACCTTTCAAATGTAATGAGTGTGGCAAGTTCTTTAGTCGTAATTCATATCTTATAAATCATCAGGGGGTACATATTGTAGAGAAAACTTTCAAATTTAATGAGTGTGGCAAGGCCTTTAGTGTAAAGGGAGCCCTTTTAAGGCATGAGAGAGTTCATACTGGAGAGAAACCTTACAGCTGTGATGAGTGTGAAGAGGCCTTTTGTCGAAAATCACATCTTCGAGTTCATTGGAGAATTCATACTGGAGAGAAACCTTTCAAATGTAATGAATGAGGCAAGGCCTTTTGTCAAAAATCACACCTTCGAGTTCATTGGAGAATTCATACTGGAGAGAAACCTTTCAAATGTAATGAGTGTGGCAAGATGTTTAGTCGGAAATCAAACCTTGCAGTTCATAAGAGAATTCACGCTGGAGAGAAACCTTTCAAATGTAATGAGTGTGGCAAGGCCTTTAGTCGAAAATCACATCTTTGAGTTCATTGGAGAATACATACTGGAGAGAAACCACTCAAAGCAATATGGTTTGCTAAGTCTCATTTTTGAAGATCAAAAATGTAGAACAGTGAGAATTTATGTTGAAGAGCGAACTTTCAAATGTAATGGATGTTGTAAATTTTTACATCAAGTATGCACACCTTTGGTGTTGAGAGCATTCATACAGGTCAATATATATACACATGGAAGCTCTTTGAAATAGTGTGTCCGTATGGTTCACCCAAGAACACATATTTGGGAGAATTCTTAAAAATTTAAGGCATCTGGTGAATATTTTGAGCAATTCTTACAACAGCCCATACACTAGAGAATGCATACTAGGAATAAATCTTTACCTCTTTGAGATATTACATACAGCAGAACCATGACAAGTCACCCGCTGTTAAAACTTATGACATGATGTGTATTTTGAGGAAGAAGGACATGTATGGAAATGGCCCATTGTCTTCAGTGTATAAAATATTAAATTATTTGATTTTTCTCAAAAAGCATACATTACTATTTGTGCTTTTCAATCTGAAGTTTGAAGTAATAGGGGAGAACAGAGACTTCCCTAGTGGGCCAGTGGTTGAGACTCCCTGCTTCCAATGCAGCAGGTGTGGGTTTGATCCCTGCTCGGGGAACTAAGATCTCAAATGCTGCAGGGTGCGGCCAAAAAAAAAGGATAAAGTAATAGAGAAGAAGAAATATGATTCCATATTGGACTTGTTTCTTTTACTTTAACCTTTGTATTCTATTGCTTTTGGTAGAAGTCAGTCACTAAAGGGATGTTGCCTATACACTTAAATTATATATAATGGGCCATCTCTGGATACACTGCCACCCTTGTAATGAGTGTTAATGTAAAATACCTTTGCTTAGCTCCCAGGAAGCATCCTGACCAGACCCACCTGTGAATGGCTTCAGGAAGGAAGAAATTAACATACCCCTTCCAGAGTGTCACCAGAAAATAAACCAGTGCATCTAAGAAAAAAATGGAAAGTTTTATTTGAGCCAAAATAGAGGATTGTATCCTGGGAAGAGCATCTCAGAAAGCTCTGAGAACTGTTCTGCCTGTTAGAAATCAAAGCACAGTTATATAATTTTTGTGAGACAGACAGTTATACATCAAATGACATATATATATATATATATATATTTTTGAAGATCAAAAATGTAGAACAGTGAGAATTTATGTTGAAGAGCGAACTTTCAAATGTAATGGATGTTGTAAATTTTTACATCAAGTATGCACACCTTTGGTGTTGAGAGCATTCATACAGGTCAATATATATACACATGGAAGCTCTTTGAAATAGTGTGTCCGTATGGTTCACCCAAGAACACATATTTGGGAGAATTCTTAAAAATTTAAGGCATCTGGTGAATATTTTGAGCAATTCTTACAACAGCCCATACACTAGAGAATGCATACTAGGAATAAATCTTTACCTCTTTGAGATATTACATACAGCAGAACCATGACAAGTCACCCGCTGTTAAAACTTATGACATGATGTGTATTTTGAGGAAGAAGGACATGTATGGAAATGGCCCATTGTCTTCAGTGTATAAAATATTAAATTATTTGATTTTTCTCAAAAAGCATACATTACTATTTGTGCTTTTCAATCTGAAGTTTGAAGTAATAGGGGAGAACAGAGACTTCCCTAGTGGGCCAGTGGTTGAGACTCCCTGCTTCCAATGCAGCAGGTGTGGGTTTGATCCCTGCTCGGGGAACTAAGATCTCAAATGCTGCAGGGTGCGGCCAAAAAAAAAGGATAAAGTAATAGAGAAGAAGAAATATGATTCCATATTGGACTTGTTTCTTTTACTTTAACCTTTGTATTCTATTGCTTTTGGTAGAAGTCAGTCACTAAAGGGATGTTGCCTATACACTTAAATTATATATAATGGGCCATCTCTGGATACACTGCCACCCTTGTAATGAGTGTTAATGTAAAATACCTTTGCTTAGCTCCCAGGAAGCATCCTGACCAGACCCACCTGTGAATGGCTTCAGGAAGGAAGAAATTAACATACCCCTTCCAGAGTGTCACCAGAAAATAAACCAGTGCATCTAAGAAAAAAATGGAAAGTTTTATTTGAGGCAAAATAGAGGATTGTATCCTGGGAAGAGCATCTCAGAAAGCTCTGAGAACTGTTCTGCCTGTTAGAAATCAAAGCACAGTTATATAATTTTTGTGAGACAGACAGTTATACATCAAATGACATATATATATATATATATATATTTTTTTTTTTTGCTGTACGCGGGCCTCTCACTGTTGTGGCCCCTCCCATTGCAGAGCACAGGCTCCGCACGCGCAGGCTCAGCGGCCATGGCTCTCGGGCCCAGCCGCTCCGCGGCATGTGGGATCCTCCCGGACCGGGGCACGAACCCGTGTCCCCTGCATCGGCAGGCGGACTCTCAACCACTGCGCCACCAGGGAAGCCCCAAGTGACATATTTTTGACAGTTCACATAATCCAGGTCTAAGCATCATCGTGGTAGGTCATGTGAATCTTTACAAGATCAAAAAGGAATGTTATCTTTTAAGGAGTTGCCTTGTTGATGCTAGGAGAAGGTGTCTTTACGGTTGAGTATTTATTCCTGCTGATGGGTCAGGTTTGGTTGATGTATCAGGCAAATACACAATGCACAGTGCTGGGAGAGAGGAAGCCAAAAGGCAGAGAAGAATTTATGTAAATTTTTCTTGTCTTGCCATAAAGTATAAATTTTATTTCACGGGAGTCTGATCTGAAGCAGGACTTTACTCTCTCCCCTTTTAGTATCAAAGAAGCCTGGGGCTTCCCTGGTGGCGCAGTGGTTGAGAGTCCGCCTGCCGATGCAGGGGACACGGGTTTGTGCCCCGGTCTGGGAAGATCCCACATGCCGCAGAGCGGCTGGGCCTGTGAGCCATGGCCACTGAGCCTGTGCGTCCGGAGCCTGTGCTCCACAACGGGAGAGGCCACAGCAGTGAGAGGCCCGCGTATGGCAAAAAAAAAAAAAAAAAAAGAAGCCTGAATTCTAACTCAGGGGAGGTGATTCTTTGGGACAGTTGTTGACTATCTTCTCGGTCTGCTGGTTTTCTGAATAAAGTTGTCATTCCTTGTCCCAGCAACTAGTCTCTGGATTTATTGGCCTGCAGCGAGCAGTAAGAGCTTAGCATTGGAAACATGGTGATCTTATGCCTTCATTACAGGCCTTGATGGCAGTCTCTGGGAAGGAATCAGTAAGATGAAGGGGCCAACTTCATTAGTTGTGGTTCATTCGCATCCATGTTCCCTGGAAAAACAAGGCCCCTGAATTATTAACTTCAATAGTGTGTGAATTAGCATGAGGGAGGGCCAGAGAATAGTGTAAGACTGTGACTTGACTCATCATGATTATTATATTCAGGGTGCCCTTTCATAGATAGACCACTGTGTGTCATAGTGCAGAATGCTTTACCAGCTGACCATGAACAACGCAGGAAGAATATCAAGTGATTGGGTTTTATTTGGTTTTGTTTTTATTTTTTAAATTTTTTGGCCTTGCCGTACAGCATGGGGGATCTTAGTTCCCCAGCCAGGAATGGAACCTGTGCCCCCTCCAATGGAAGCACTGGTACCAGGAGACTTAACCACTGGATCGCCAGGGAAGTCCCTGGGCTTTTTTTTACCTGAGAGGAGAGTGACAGGTTACTGGGGACTGTTTATCCAGTAGCAATAATGCAGGGGTAGGCTTGGTCACTTTCTTCATTGAGTGGCAATAGTAGTTTTATATATCTATGTTTAAAGGAAAATTAGTCTTATTGTTGGAAATTGAAGAGAGAAATATTCTGGAGAGGAACATTTAATGAAAATACTCAGAATAGTGTGTGTATGTATATGATTCACACTTAACTCTCGCCGTTACATTTTGCTGCTGTTTTATTCAGAATGTATCATTAGTCTCCTGTTTTAACTAATAAAATAATCAACTTTGTCACAACACTGGATGTATGTTATTCCTTTTTCCAACAGTTTTATTCCGTCTCTGTACTTTATAGCAGAAGCTAGCAATGCACGGTTAGTATCTCAGGATTGAAAGCATCTATAACAATCTTTCCAATATGGGATCAAGCAACATACAAGTTGGAGATTATATACTCGTAATTTGTGCTTGGGTTATTCTCTCCACACTCTATTGCAGAATATTCAAATGACTATAATGCAAATCGTATAGCAGTGCCTTTCAGACTCTTGACTTCAATTTGTGTACAGCAGTTCAACCAAGGAAATGGAAAGATCTAATTGGCTTTATTGAATGATTCATGCATTGGGCAGCATCCCACCTAGTAAATAAAGAGGTGCTCCATGGAGCTGTACAAAGTGGAAGAGCCCATGATGTTGAGCATCTTTTCAGGTGCTTTCTTTTTTTTTTTTAATTATTTTTGGCTGCGTTGGGTCTTTGTTGCTGCATGCGGGCTTTCTCTAGTTGTGGCGAGTGGGGGCTACCCTTTGCTGTGGTGTGCGGGCTTCTCATTGTGGTGGCTTCTCTTGCTGTGGAGCGTGGGCTCTAGGCGCGTACACTTCAGTAGTTGTGGCACATGGGCTTCGTTGCTCCATGACATGTGGGATCTTCCTGGACCAGGGCTCGAACCCCTGTCCCCTACCTTGGCAGGCAGACTCTTAACCACCGTGCCACCAGGGAAGCCCTCAGGTGCTTTCTGAATGTGTATCTATGACAGATTTTTGGTTTGTGTTTACTGTGAAGTTTTTATATGGATATAGAACTCTGCGCTTCCTATACTTAGGTGACTCTTTCTTTTCCCTTGTTAGGGAATTTTTCAGTTATTGTTTCTTCAGATATTTTCTCAGGCCCTCTCTCTCTCTTCTCCTTCTGGATCCCTTATAAAGTGAATATTGGCACACTTGCTGTTGTCCCAGAGGTCTCATAAACTGTCCTCCTTTCTTTTCATTCTTTTTTCTTTTTTCTGTTCGGGGGTGGTTTCCACTACTCTGTCTTCCAGCTCACTGACCATTCTTCTGCCTCATTTAGTCTACTGTTGATTCCTTCTAGTTTTTTGTTTTTTTCTTTACATTTCAGTTGTTGTATTCTTCAGTTCTGTTGGATTGTTATACTTTCTAAGTCTTTGTTAAAAACTTTTCATTTCTTGCTCTGTGCATCCATTCTCCTTCTGACATCTTTGATCACCTTTATGGTCATTACTCTGAGCTCTTCCTTTGGTAGATTGCATATCTTCATGTAACTAAGTTCTTCTGGGCTTTTATCTTCTTCCTTTATCTGAACCATAATCCTCTGTTGCCTCATTCTGTCTAAATTGCTATTTGTATTTTTAGGTATGTGGTAGGTTAGCTGAGCTTCTCATCCTTGGAGAGATGAGAAGGTGTCTCCCACTTTAGGTGACATCCTTTGGAGAGCAGTACACTCCCCTCTTGCAAGCCAAGGGTCAGGGGCCAGCTGGTCCCAGGGTTGTGTCTGGCCTGTGTTTGCAGATTCTGTCTGTAGACTGCAGGACTTCAGTTTTTTTGCTTCTCACGTGTGCCCCATGGTGGGTGAGGCTGGTCTCGAGCCTTGTGCCTGCCCACTGGTGGGTGGAGCTGGGTCTTGGCCCTCTGGTGGGCAGGGCCAGGTGTAGATGCATGTGTAGAGATGGCTGTGGGCTCAGGATTTCTTTAAG